CTCTGGATCTCCTACACACACTAGATTGCCCTTAGACACACACTGCACCACCTACATATAGCGTCTGTGCACACACTCGCAGCAACACCTATACACACATAGTATGCCCCCTGTACACACTAAGAACAGTATACACAAGCACTCTACAGCTCCTAGCCAGGCATATAATACCACAAACTAAAACTCTACACATGCACCACCAACACAAGCTCAACATCACTGATCGTTTCACTTTTAGGGTCAGTTTATAATTGGAAAGGTTCAATTCTCAGTTCTTTAGTTTTTTTTAAGGGGTATGGAGGTAAATATAGTGTGCATGCCGTCCATTTCAAGTTTGAGACTTTTTTTACTGAACCAAGGAAAACCAATTAGGAAAATTACAAAGTCAGGCAACCTATGCTGAAACACTTGAGATGATTTAACCCTTATAACCCTTATAATATTTGTGGTTGTATTTTCTGTAAAGGAAACTTTGCACATATATTTTTTTTACATACATGATTCTATAGTTCCATGAAAGGCTTCTCTGTCTATTTGACCTGTTAGCACTATCTTAGTGTGTGTTAAAAATGTTTTTTACACTTTGTTAAATTTGATCATTTCTATTTCTTCTTTGTAGCAATTAAGTTCAATTATTTTATTTTGTATCACTAATGTATATGATTCTTCAACCTTTTTTTACCGTTTACATATGTGATTTGCATATTGTTATCAGTTTAACTTGGCTGTGGGAAACATGACCAGTGTTTGTGAGTGTTAAAGATTATATTGATAAACATTTAAAGGGAAAACAATGCATTTATCCAGTGTCTGATTAGAACCCCATATAATCTAGCTTAGATGATTAGATTCCTACAGCAGTTTTTCTACATTTTTATAAAAGGAGGCCTTGATTGCAAACATTTTTGCATACTATTTTATACCTTTTCGAATGCATATGTTCATCTCTTGTATAATTACATTTTCCATGTGTGATAAAGATTTTTGTCATAGATTTCATATTTTTATATAAACTTTTAAAATGATTTAATAATTTGTAAAAATATTAGATATTTTGTAACATTTAAAATATATTTTAAAGGTTTATTCAAAAATATTAAATTGAGGCCATAATATGATGCTGGATTTTAAGTCTACACTTTCATAAGCATACAAATTAGCAAGATTGACTCTGATGTATAAATTCACAAAGGGGTTAGAGACAGGAATATGACTTTTTTTTTCTTCTAATTTACAAAGTATTCTCCTTTTTTAAACTGCTCCCAAGTGTAGCTCCTATTTGTGTTTGGAAAGTAAGTTATTAACATTAAAAGAGAAATGCAAAAAGAAAAAAAATCCCAATTTAACATATATTACTTCCATACTGATGATGCACATCACTGACTACACACACCCATATAATATCTTCCTAGTTTCTCTGATGATTTGTTAATGTGAGGAGGATTTTTTTTTTTTTTTGCATTTCAATATTCTTTTTGCTTACATTTTCAGTCAATGATTTGTGATACCATCTGATTTTTGTATCACTATTTGTATGTTTACAAATCATACATTTATAATCATTTACATGGCTGTCTTTAATATTAATTGAACCCTGGGCCAGATATCACACAACTCTTGTTTTATTTTTCTCATTTCCCCCCTAATGTCACATCTACCCACATTGCCCTCCACACCAAAATAAACTAAAAAATATATATGTTCTAAGTAATTTTATTAAACCATATTCTAAAATAACGCTATTGAAACTTAGGTGTATGCTCATATTTCTGTGAAGTGATGTGCAGTTGAGATTAAATATAACCATGCCGTGGTTATGTCCACCAAAATGTGTCACTAGTGAGCAAAATATCTTCCCTTTGTCTTGCAAGAGACAAAATATCAACATCTGACACTGGTCATATCAATATCATAAGCCAGCAACCACCAGGAAGTTCACTTTCCATTCAAGAGTTACTATGGCACACCCTAGTGAGTGTAAACAAGACTGTAGTCCAACCTTCTAAAAATGTAACCTAAGTGGCTGTCTCTTTTGATCAGCCTCTCTTGCCCTCTACCCCTTTACACGTGGTGTACCTACATAGAAGTGTTATGACTTTGGCACGCTTCTCCATATGCATTTTCATCACCTAAGTTGAGTATCAGTTTGTTGTGCATTGTGTTCAGCAATAGTTTAGCATTATTTGTATTTGTTTTTATTTGTTTGTTTCCTTTTTGAATCTTTGTCAGGCTTTATTGTGTTTTTTTTTGTTTAGTAAAAGTTTTTATAACAATCCATGTGTCTCCTCACTCGCTTTTTTACATTCTACACTATCAGCTTGTATAAATTTAAATAAAATTTTTACAACATATATAATTTTTATTACATCTAATGTATTGGGTAGCAGGGCATGCATTTTATGACATAGTGGAGATTTTTAAACTTTATTATGTATTAGTGATGTCCACACTTATCCCCAAAAACTGTTATTCAAATACATTGCATTTATATCTTGCGACAGCCAAGGGCCATAGGAAATATAGAACACTAAACATGTCATCATTGTAATAAAAATAGCCACCAAAAAATATTAGTGCAAGCATTTCAATAAGTGCAACTCAAAATAACACGTTAAACAGTGCCCTCATAATTCCATATGGGAAAGCAATGTATTAATAGTAATGTAATAGTAATAGTCATTGTGTTTAGTTGTAAATTCTTAAATATACAACAAATAGCCATGAAAATGGCTATACACAGGGTAACATTTATAGGCAATCTGTGTGCACTTATTAAAATATAAATATTTGTGTTATATATAAATATGGAATGTTGGTGGCAGCCTTTAAGTGTTACAAAACCCATTTGTACCCATCTCCAGACTGGTGCATAAATATTTGCTGCCCCAGGCAAAAAAAAGTGCTGCTGCTCCCTAATGATTTTGTCTTTTTGTTGGACATAACAATGTCCTGCGCATGTTGGATAACTCCCTAAATTGATATTATGTGAGATTGCCATATTTAAAGATACCAAATAAAAATGATCTGCTAAGCAGATCACTAATGTGCTATACCTATGCATGGCAATCCCACATACGATTACTGATTTAGAGAATTTTCTACTTAACAACTGAAAGATCAAAATTTAGAAAATCACTTTTTTAAATTTAGCTCTGTTGGTTGTTTAACCCCATCCCAAAAAATGGTCATTAACTACCTAGGACGTATCTGGTACGTCCGATAGCAAATAGGCACTTACCTGATCGTTGGCGATCTCCTGCCGTGTGGTATCACTGTACTTGGGAGATGTTGCTAAACACATATTGTGTCAAAAAAAATCACCAATTATTAAAAATGTTTACCTTTGGCATAGATTGGTGGTGAAATGGTTGCATGAAAAGAGTCAAAATACCCCAAGTTTAATACCTTAGGTTGTCTTCTTTTAAAAAAAAATATATATACATATGAAGGGTTATTCAGGGATTACTGACAGATATCAGTGTTGGTTAACTTGGGGGGGGGGAAAGGTTTGAGAAATAGCAAAGTGTACTTAATTGCCCTATAACTTGTTAACATTGGGCCCTAGAACATGTTAACATTTGGTATTTCTAAACTCAGGATAAAATTTTTGAAACTATTTAGCGCGGGTGTTTTTTGCTGGTTGTAGATGCGTAACAAATTTTGGGGGTCAAAGTTAGAAATAGTGGGGTTTTTTGTTTGTTTAAATTTCATCCTATTTTATAATTTTTCAGATAGTAAATTATATGAGATGATAAAAATAATGATTTTTTTTAGTAATACCATTTAATGGTGAGAAAACGCTATATAATATGTGTGTGGGTACAGTAAATGAGGAAAATTACAGCTAAAATGTAAAGATCCCTGGTCCTCAACGGTAAGAAAATTTGAAAAATGGTCTGGCCACTAAGGGGTTAATTTCCTACTGTTGATTTTAAGGATACCAAATTAGAGAGCTATCCACTAAATCACTTTCTTATGCACATGTACACACAATAATACACAAACACATTCATGAATATACACATGTTCCTATTACATTTTGTTATTGTCTCATTTGGTAAATTCCCTTTTATTGTAAAGCGCTGCGGAATAAGCTGGCGCTATATAAATAATAATATAATCACATGCATACATATGATTTGTATTAATTTTTTTTAGAAGTGCCCCCAGCCAACCACAAAGCTTCTGATGCACACGTGGGATACAAGCAGAGCGCACCTTAGCGGCTCAAGGGAACCATCATTAGCTTCAACAATGTACAGCATATATCTGAGAAACCAAACATTTGACTATCGGACATGGACTGCAGCAGGGTGCACACACATACACGCCCTGTATATCTCTTAAACAGTTCCCGGACATACAAGCACAGTACAAAATACCAAATAGAGCAATCTTCTCATACTTACAGCTCAAATCGCTGCTACAACAACCCACAGCCTCACCTGGGACACCCGTGGTGTCCAGCTACGACATGTGGTGCCTCAGAGGAGAACCGCACAAACGAACCCTCTCAAGAGTGTACGGAGCACTACTAGCAGGCACACATAACTCTACAGACAATTTCATACAGGCATGGCACAAGGACCTAGGATGCACCTTTTCAGGGCACCAATGGTCCGGAGCCTTTACAATCCATAAAGGCAATACCGCATGCATCACACACTTTGAACAAATAAGGAAACTACAGTATAGGTGGTATCTGGTCCCAACAAGGCTCGCACATATATTCCCAGGCACTTCTGCCCAATGCTGGAGATGTTGTCTGGAAAAGGGCTCGCTATTGCACATATGGTGGGAGTGCAAGGACATTCGACCCTACTGGAACACAGTGAACAAAATCATTGACCACCTACTACCTATAAAATTAACTCTAACCCCAGCAATGCCTCTTGTACATATGGCCAGAGGACATGTCCAAGGTTCATACCAAACTTCTATTCCACACGATAGTATCGGCATGCAACCTCATAGCAAAACACTGGAAATCTAGAGCAGCCCCCACAAAAACCAGACTGTTAGTCCAAATCCAAATGAACTGGGAATACGAACACATGGCGGCCCACCAGCTAGAAAAGAAGGGAGTAACTACAGAGGCAGGCCACATATGGGATAAATACCGGAACACGGTGAAGCATCAGACAGTCGGAGCCGAACATCACTAAAGGTCCGATAGATCGCTAAGAACTGGCCCGTGAGAAACAGAGAAAAAGAGAGTCAGGGAGAAAGCTCATGTCACTAGCATACACACCACGTAGAAGGAAAACACATAGACAAAATGTACAACTAAAGCGAACCCACTTGTGTACATAAATTAACCCCCCCCCCCCTTTCTACCGGCCTACGAGGCACAGAGGCAGATGTAACAAAATGTGTAGTAGAGTTTGTTTTAATATTCTACATCATTGTTAGAAAACTGTAATGTACAATGCAATACTTGATCATGCATACATCACCTGATGGCATTTCCCCCTCCCCTACCTTCATTTCTGTACCCCAATACGTATTTGGAAAAGATAATAAAAATTGTCAAATTGGAAAAAAAAAAAGTGCCCCCAGCCTCCTTACCTATACATTGGAGAGCAGTGGTTCCTTCCAGGAATTTCTGAGTTCCCAAATATGCCTGTAGTGATGCTGGGGACCACAATAGGGCATGTGAGGGCACTGGAAAGAAAGTCCATACCTCCCTTACCACATGTTCACTGCCTCCCCCAGTATATCTGGGCAGATTAGGCTCCTGCCATGTTGGTAGGCAAGTGCCTACTCTGCCAAGCGAGCTGGTAGGTCAGTTTAGTGTGGCTATCCCAATGCAATACTGTTAAGCAGGTTGGAGATACAGTGGGACACCCATCGCTGTAGCCGCTGCTGCATGTTCGCTAGAGGGGTGGCGCAGACTATAGCAGTACAGCCACTGAGGGTGTACCCCGTTAAATAATGATCTAGGCGACCACCTAAGGTTCCTGAAATAAGTGATGGCCTTGCCTATCTCTGGCAAAAGACAAGGACCCTGTCAACCATGTGGCCCATGGCAGTTGTCCCTTTTTCCCTGTGATAAAGATGGCTCTGATCATATTAGGAAAATATAAAAAAAAAGTAAATATAATGAAAGGCATTTCAAAAAGGGGGAGCAGCAGGGATGATTTTAATTTGAAAAGAAATATGGATTTTTTTTTTTTTTTTTTCAATTTGACAATTTTTATTTTCCATATAGAAAAAGGGGGGGGGAGGGGATACAAAAATGAATGAGGGGGGGGGGATGAATGGGGCAGGGTGGAATAACGAAGGTTCCACTCATGACATTATACTTTATACAACATTTTCACTTTATACATTACACAGGTTATTAGTATTTATAAACATGACTACAACCTTGTCCGGCCTTTCTGTATAACCAGCTTATTGTTTTGGCTCTTTAACATGTATCTCCAGATGCCGGTCTGGCTAAAGTTACCTAGTATACCATTAGTGTTTCAAAGGTGGGGATGGGAATCACAGACAACAAATGTGGGGTATGATGGGGTGGGGTTAGTTGGTACCGTGTGTATTTCCAACGGTCATTATATCCCACTTTATTTAGTACAGCCGTAGTTTGGATAGTTTAAACAGTGTCGGCGGGGCGCTATCCATGCACCTCAGCCCGGAGGTGTCCACATGTTTACCAGCCTGTCCTGCGCTCGTTGTCGTGCCTTTTTACCGTGTGGCCTATGTCAATGAGTTGGACAGAAGGAGGTGGTGGGGGGGAGTGGGGGGGGTCCAGGTGCTCACCCGGGGGGGGAGGGGTATGAGGGGAGTTAGCTTAAATATATACACTGGTGGGTTGTTTGTCTCGTCTGTATGTGGTACATCTACCTGGTTTCTTTTGAGAAGGGTTCGCTGTACCTGTTTGATCTCTCATCACCGGCCTCTTTCCACTGTTTCCCGGGGTATACCCTCTCAGATTGCGTTGGTGAGGCTAAAGAATCTTACTCATCCCCAGTTGTTTGGGACTTCACCTTGTTCCAGTATTGTTCCCAAATTTTCCCCGCCTCCATAGTTGCTACTCCCGTCCCCAATTGTTGGGCCGCCATGCGTTCATATTCCCAATTCTTTTGGATCTGGGTAACTAGCTCCGTTTTTGTGGGGATGTTCCGTGATTTCCAGTTTTTTGCTATTAGGTTACATGCTGCTATCAGCGTGTGGAATAGGAGTTTGGAGTGGACCTTGGTCAGGCCTTCTGGCCATATGTATAAGAGGCATGTAGCCGGGGTCAGGGTCATCTTTGCAGGAAGCAGTTGGTCCACGATGGTGCTCACCATGGCCCAGTAGGGTTGCACGTCTTTACATGTCCACCAAATATGTATTAGTGAGCCTGTGTCTAGCTGGCATCTCCAGCACTGAGTAGACATGTTCGGGAACATGTGTGCTAGCCGTGTGGGGACCAAATACCACCTGTATTGCAGTTTTCTCACTTGTTCAAAGTGTGTAATGCAGGCTGTGTTGCCCTTGTGGATTGTGAAGGCTCTGGACCATTGGGCCTCCGTGAAGGTGCTGCCAAGGTCTTTGTGCCATGCCTGTATAAAGTTGTCTGTGGATGCGTGAGTGCCCTCAAGCAATGTGCTATATATTTTTGAAATGCTTCGTCTGTGTGGCTTGCCCGTGAGGCACCACGTGTCAAAGTTTGAGATCATGGGTGTCATAGGTGGAGTCTTGGGTTGCCGTAGGGTGGACTTGAGCTGCAAGTATGAGAAAATTGCTTTACTCGGTAGGTTGTACTGTGTTTGTAGGTCCGGGAACTGTTTTAGGGATGTACCCTTGTATAAGTCGTGTATGTGTGTACACCCTGCATTCGTCCAAGTCCGATAGTCAAATGTTTTGTTCCTCAGGTGGATACTATACATTGTCGATGCTAGCGATGTGGTTCCTGAGCCACTGAGGTGCGTTCTATATGTGTCCCAGGTATGCAGCATTAGTTTGGTGGTCTCTAGCATGGTCGGTGTTGTTGGCCTTAGGTGTTTTGGCACCCAAAACAAGTGGTGCATCCCTGCTCTACATGTCCATTGGGATTCAATGGCTACCCATTGTGGTGGGTTATCTGCCCTGTGTGTCGTGGCTAGCGCTGCTAGAATGGCCGCCTTGTAGTACAGTTTGACGTCTGGGAAGCTCATACCCCCCCTCTCCGTTGTTCTTTTTATTGTAGAGTAAGCCACTCTGGGTGTTTTGTTCGCACACACGAATCTCGTGATGATTTTTTGTAGTTTGACCATATATTGCCTAGGTATAGGGATTTGCAGCGTGCGGAATAGGTATTGTAATTTTGGCAACAGTGACATTTTAAATGCCGCTATGCGCCCATGCCACGAGTGGAAGTCACTGTTCCATTGGTCTAACGTCTGAGAGATTTCCTGCAGGAGTTTCTCATAATTATATTTAAACATTTGGCCGCTCGTCTTGGCTAGCTTAATCCCCAGGAATGTGATATAGTCTTCCCTCCAGTCAAAGGTGAAGGAGTTCGTCAGTGTTTGTAAAGTATGTTCTGGCAGATGGATTCCCATTGCTTGTGTTTTTGTGAGGTTTAATTTGTAGTAGGATACTTTGTTATATTCTCGTATGCACTGTAGTAAATTCGGTAGGGATATTATTGGTTGCGTCAACGTCAGGAGTATGTCGTCTGCGAATAGATTAAGGGTGTACTCCTTGTCCCCCACTTGTACCCCATGTATATCAGGGTGGGCTCTGATCACTGCAGCCAGCGGCTCCAGTGCCAGTACATATAGCAGGGGGGACAGGGGGCACCCCTGTCTTGTTCCATTGGTAATGGTTATCTTTTTTGACACAAAACCCGAATTAAGTACTTGGGCTCTTGGTGCCGAATACAGTGCCCTGACCACTGAAATAAACCCCTCCGGCATCCCGTACCTCCTCAGGGCCGCCTGCAGAAATCCCCACCCCAGTCGGTCAAAGGCTTTTTCTGCGTCCAGTGAAAGCAGAACCCCCCCTTCCCGTTTCGCCCCTAAGCTTTGCATGAGGTCGAGGACTTTTCTGGTGTTGTCTGCCCCCTGGCGCCCCGTCACAAATCCCACTTGGTCATCGTGTATGATGTGTGGTAATATCGGGCTTAGCCTCATAGCGAACAGTTTCGCCAGTAGTTTAGTGTCAGTATTAAGGAGGGATATGGGTCTAAAATTTTGTGGATAATTTGGGGGTTTGCCAGGCTTGGGCAAAGTGATAATGTGGGCGAGCTGCATTTCCTCCGGTAGGGTTTGTGTTCGCACGGCCTCATTGAAAACTTCTGCTAGGCATGGGGCCAATATATCTCTAAATTTGCTATAGTAAGAGTTGGCAAATCCATCAGGGCCCGGGGCCTTGCCCCTTGGTAGCGACTTTATGGTGTCCCCTACCTCCTCAAGGGTGACTGGTCGGGTAAGGGTGTCTTTCTGTTGGGCTGTCAAAGTCGGGAGGTTGATTTTGTTTAGGTATGTCTCTATCTCGGCCGTTGTCGGTGTGGGTATGGTTGCATCGTTGCTGAGATTGTACAGGTCCCCATAGTATTGTGCGAACTCATCGCTAATAGTGAGCGGCGACATAGCTTTCCCCCCTGCTTTCGTGTGTAGGTACGCTATTTTCTGTGACTGTTGTCGCTTTTTTAACCTTGCTGCCAGTAGTTTACTCGCTCTATTCCCCTGGGCGTAGTGTGAGGCTTTCAATTTCCATAAGTTGTGTCCTACCTTAGTTAGCACATGTTGGCGAAGTTGATGGCGCACTAGGGCTATTTGTTCTTTTAGCTGTTGTGTGGGGTGAAGTTGATTTTGTATCGTCAGTGTGTAAATGTCTTTCTGCCACTTCGTCACTTGTGTCTGTGTCTTCCTTTTAATGCATGATGCTTGTTTTATAAGGAGTCCACGGGCAACTGCCTTATGTGCTTGCCAAATTGTGTGGTGTTGTAAGTCGGGGTTGGCATTGTCTGTAAAATAGGTTTGTAGGGACTCCGCTAGCGTTCCCGAGAAGATTTTGTCTGTCAGGAGGGTCTCGTTAAGCCGCCAGGGGCTCCTATGTTTGAAGTCATAAGTGTCCCTCAAGATTAGTTCTGTAGGGGCATGGTCAGACCACACTATCTGTCCCACCCGACAGTCCACTACCTGCCCTAGTGTGGTTCCCTCCACTAGGATCGCGTCGATTCTCGAGTATGTATTATGAACCTGCGAGTGGTGGGTGTACTCTTTGTCT